ATAGTAAGGTGATGCTGGAAAAAAGTAAAATGCAATCATTACCTCACATAAATTTACAAAAGTCACTTCTACTTAGGTTAAAGATCTAATTGGGAGAAGCAAAGCTATGTTACAGGTATTCAGAAGATAATATTTATTTGCAAAGATATATGCACCCCTATGTTCACTGAAAGACTGCCATTTGTGAAAACATGGATGGACCTTGAGGATATTATGCTAAGTGAAATCAGTTAGAAAAAGCTATGAACCATATGATTTCACTCATAGATGGGATATAAAACTAAAATTCAGACACAGACAACAGCATGGTGGTTACCAGAGGGAAGGGGGGTGGGGGGACTAGTAAAGGGTAAAGGGGGCCAAATATATGGTGATGGAAGATGATCTGACTTTGGGTGGTGGGCACACAATGCAGTATACAGACCATGTGTCACAGGAATGTACACTTGAAACCTATGTAACTTATCAACCAATGTTCCCCAATACATTTAATTAAAATAAAATAAAATGTATTTTGGTTCATATTTCTTCTGCACCATCTGGGACTAGATTCAGCAGCAGGTGGCAGAATCAGACAAGTTTCGCCTCTTTCTCGTTTCCCCCGGGGGAGGCTGAGTGAGGAAGGGGGCAGGAGGCCAGGAAGGCTGCTCTGGGAAGCTGAGGAGTGGGGAATGGTGCAACCCCCACACACACTGCGTCATAAAGTCCCACTTCCTTGGTGAAAAAAAAAAGAAGAGAATACAGAACAACAGCTTTAAGGTATCCTTCCCTTTGAGGTCATAAATCAATAATAAAAAGTAGAATACATAAAGGAAGAATAGTCACAGTAAAGTTCATTTTTATTCATTAAAAAGTGTCATCAAGAATGGGAAAAGGCAAACCAAATCCTGGGAGAGGATATTTGCAAACATGTAACCAACAAGAATTGGTATCCGGATTATGTGAAAAATTCCTATGAACTGATAAAAATGGGCAAAAAGACTAGAAATGCAAATTATAACTATAATTCATACCTAAAACCTGCTAGGTTAGCCAGAATTAACAAGCCTGACAAAATTAAGTATTGCCAAGAGTGCGAAGTGAACTCTCACCCAGTGCTGGCTGTGGTCAGTGTACCTGGGAAAGAAAGCTGCATGGGCACACAATGAATGACCCAGCATCATCCCTCCTGGAAGTTCTCGCACACTGTGTGTAAGAGACACACAAAGCAGTATTTATGACAACAGTTTGTAATAGTAAAAGCAAACAACAAACTACAGACAACTCAAATATCTATAAACAGTAAAATTAAATATTGTAATATACAGTTACATGCCACTTAGTGACGGAACACATTCTGAGAAATGCGTTGTTGGGCAATTTCACCCTTGTGTGAACAACACAGAGTGCACTTACACAAACCTACATGGTACAGCCTGCTACACACTTAGGCCAGATGGTCTAGCCTATTCCCGCTAGGCTACAACCTGTACAGCATGTTACTGTCCTGAATACCAGGCAATTACAACACAATGGTAAGTGTTTGTATATCCAAACATAGATAAACAGAAAAGGTACAGTAAAAACATGGTATAAAAGATAAAATGGCATCCCCGTGAATGGAGCTGGCAGGACTGGAAGCTACTCTAGGTGAGTCAGTGAGCGAGGGTGAGTGACTGTGAAGGCTGAGGACGTCACTGTCCACTACTGTAGATTTTACAAACACTGTACTTTTAGGCTACACTACATTTATAAAACAATACAAGATTAAACCAAGCACAAGAGAAAATGTGCAATCAAGAGAAGGGGTAACCATGAGATGGACGAGGCCACTGCCAGAGTAATACCACACACAAACTTATTGTAAGTAGGCACAGACTCTAAAATAATGATTCAAAACTAGTAGTAAATGCATAAGCCAGGAACACAGCTGTTTATCATCAAGTATATGTACTGATAATACTGTACCGTGCTGTATGCGCTGTACCTTACAGGGCTGAAAGCACAGGTTTGCTGACACCGGCATCCCCGCAAACACGTGAGTGCCGCATTGTGCTACTTCTGTCCTCAGGACGACAATATAAGCTCCGCTATTCTTGTTCACGGTTGCACTCAGTGTCTAGAACAGTGCTAATTAAGCATATAGTGGGGTTTCAATAAACATTTTGGTTTAAAAGGCAATGGTGTGCTCCTTAGTCCTAAAGACAATGATTCTGATGTTTCAGTATCATAAGGTGACAGGAATTTGTTAGTTCCATTATGATCTTACGGGAACCCTGTCATATACAACGGTTACAGCACATGATCGTATTCATACAGTGGAATACTAGTCAGTAATAAAATAATTTTGAGATTAACATGGGTGAACCTCAAAAACATAATACTGAATGAAAGTTGCAAATACATAATGAAATAATATGTATATAAATTCAAAAGCAGGCATAACTGCCTGGCTGGGTGGCTCAGTTGGTTGGAGCATCAGCCCGTACACCAAAAGGGTTGCAGGCACATATCTAAGTTGTGGGTTCAATCCCTGGTTGGGGCACATAAGGGAGGCAACCAATCGATATTTCTCTCTTACATCGATGTTTCTCTCTCACACAGATGTTTCTCTCTCTCTCTCTCTTTCTCCCCCTTCCTCTCTCTCTCAAATCAATCAATAAACTGTCCTTGGTGAGGATTAAAAAAAAAGAGGCAAAACTAAACAGTCCATTGGGTAGAGATACATAAACAGTTGGGAAAACTAAGACTACAAGTGGCCCTGGCTGGTGTGGGACAGTGGTTAGAGTGTCAACCTACGCACCGAGGGGCTGAGGTTTCGATTCCCGGTCAAGGGCATGTACCTGGGTTGCCGGTTTGATCCAGTTGGGATGTGTGCAGGCGGCAGCCAATTGATGTCCCTCTTTCACACTGATGTTTCCCTCTCTCTCTCTCTGTCCTTCCCTCCTTTCCACTCTCTCTAAAAATCAATGGAAAAAATATCCTCAAGTGAGGATTAACAAAAAAAGAAAAAGAGAAGAACAAATGAAAAGTTACCACAAAAAATCAGGATGGTGATTATTATGGAGTGAGGCTGTGATTAAGAAGGGGCACACGGAAGGCCTTTCACTGGCAATGCTCTATGTCCTAATCTGGGTAGCTGGTGCCCTGGTGTTTGCTTTAGTATTTTTAGTTTTTTTGAACCCTTACCTGAGGATATTTTTTCCATTGCTTTTCAGAGAGAGTGGAAGGGAGAAAGAGAGAGAAACATCGATGTGAGAGAGACACATTGGTTGGTTGCCTCCCACTCGCGAGATTGAGCCTGCAACCAAGGTACATGCCCTTGGCCAGAATCGAACCTGGGACGCTTCAGTTCACAGGATGACATTCTAATCATGGAACCAAACCAGCCAGGATGCTTTAGTATTCTTTAAAGTACACAATTACATGTTATATACATTTCTGTACTTATGATGTTTTACAACATAAATAAATTAATTTATCACATTTTAATTTGATTTTTGGTAATAAAATACTTTATTGGTACCGTTTAATGTCAAAAACATAATAATGTTTCCATTGCTTAGCTTCCATCTTTAAATTAAAAGCTAAAGAAAAAACCAGAAGATAAAATCATTTGATTCTATCAAAAAAACAAGCTGAAACTTACCTTTGCAAATAATTAGGTTCCCTCACTTTTCAATGGTCTTCATAATAAATACTTGTATAAAAAGGAGACAAAAGCCTGAATAATTTTTCACAAGACATTTTACACATCATAAAAAAAACTCAAGCCTAAGTGCTACCCCAACTTAAAATTTTAAGAATTAGTAAAAGTTATTATAAAATTGAATTCATGTAGCACCAAGAAATTTGGAATTTATAATATTTCAGATGATATGATTTACTGAGCCAAAAAAGTAATGATTTTTCTTCTGTGATTTTTCAGAGGTTTATATACAAATAGAAAGAATACAACATAGGTCCCTTTCTAAAAGCCAAAGGTTAAAAAATCTATGCATGCCTTTCACCATAGCTCCAATTTCTGGATCTAGCAATTGACCCTATGGTAAAAGATCCACGTGTGATAAATAACAGTATAGTCCTATCTGAATATAATTTCTTATTCATCTTGTCTCATTAATATAATTTATACTTCAAAACATCATTCTCTCTGCAAGTTATATATATCTCTAAAATATTCTGTAATTCAGATTTCCATTCATACCGCCTTCCCTCTCTTCCCCTTTTCTCAAATCAGTGTAATCTTATGGTATACCTCATTAAATTGCTTTTTTCTCTCTTCAATGAAACTGTCAAATCAAAGTATTACAATAATGCAAATACATATGTAGCATATATTAACATATTAGGAAAAAAAGGACAGTAAATACATATGGACCCATGCTAAATGAGACAAAACAAAACAAAAACATACAACAAGCACCATGCTATGCTCATCTATTCTGAACCACCCACCACAAAAGGCCCCACAGAGCCCAGGCTCATGTAACTGATGCTCCCAGACACCACTACTGTCCTGTACTCCAACACAAGCAATTGTCTGTTAAGGCGTTTCCATGTTGAGTTCAGTTAGTTCAAAACAGCTTACAGCAACTTTGATTTTTAATCCTGAACATGATGACAAAGTAATAACACTATATTTTTAATCAAGTCATAGATTTTCATCCAAGTATTTCCCACTACTACCCACTTGTTTAAAAACAGACACTGAGGGGACTAAGCAACATGAAGTTAAGGGGTTTTTACTTCTGTCTTCTCGTGATCAGTTGGGGATTTCAGGTGTGTCATGTAATTATCCTCTGCTTCACTAAAAAAGGATTCTTCAAGCAATGAAAAAGATCTTCATTTAAAAACCAAACAAGTACCCTGGCCGGGTGGCCCAAGTGGTTGGAGCATCATCTCCTACACCAAAAGGTTGAGGGTTCAATTCCTGGTCAGGGCACATACCTAGGTTGTGGGTTGAATCCCCAGTCAGAGTGTGTACGGGAGGCAACCAGTTGATGTTTCTCTCACATAGATGTTTCTCTCTCTCCCCCTCCCCCCTTCTTCTCTTTCTAAAATCAATAAAAAATAAAAAACTAAAAACCAAGCAAGCTGACTCAGTGGTCGGCAGGTGAAGAACCCTTGTCCACATACTCCACCTGCTATGCTCCATCTCTGTGGGAATGGGATGCTCCTTACCTGCCATCGTCACAACACACTCCATCCCTTAGCCGAGATGCAACCAGGACACATCAGAATATGGGTGCAGATACAAACTAACTCAAAACTACTTTGGGACCAAACACCAAATTTCAAGTTATGAGTGATTCCATAGTGCAGTATTTTCACAAAACAGGCTTTGCATTGAAACAGTTGCTTTTTCTTCTCCTATGAAGTTAAACTGCTAAGGTAATGTCAGAGAGAGCACAGGAGATAAGCATGTCTTCTCTGAAAGAGGCACTGCATCTGGCACTGAAATTAAGGCTAATAAATAGTGCTGGTTTGTGGTTCAGCGCTGGTTTGAGTTTCAGACTAACGTGTTGATGGTGACGTTAACCGACAGCTTCGCTGTTTGTCCTGTATGCCTGTTTGCGGAGATGTGTCTCTATCTCTTCCCTGAAGACCAGCATTCCCATGTGCGAATGAGAGGCTTCATTCATGGCTTTGGACTGGATGCACATGCGGTACTGCTCGGGGGTCAACTCGTCAGCACAGCGTTTCTCATGCCACAGGTGGAAAAGACCAGGAACCGGAGTCCGAATCACAATCAAGTCACCATGTAAGTATTTTCGATAAAGATGAACATCTTCTCCACCCCAACCTTTAACTTCCATGTCAAATCCACCTGTAGGATCAAAATCAACACTGTAGGTAACTGCCTGGTAGCCAGAACACAGTCCAAGTGACAATGATTTAAACATTTCACTTCACGTGAGATGGCATGGTATAGCCCACAGACACCTCAGGTTGAGGACTGACGTCCTGGTTTGGAAGTTCAGTTACCAGATGACATCTAGAGCTCAAAGTCTGTTGTTGAGCATCAAAATGAAATTAAATATGCATTTGACACTGCTTTGTAAACTTCAAAGATCTACAGAAAGTCTTTAGAAAGTAAAGGAGAAGGAAATATAAATCGCCCATAATCTTAACACTACTAACATTTTATTCAGTTTTTTTTCTATCTTTTGAGATGCAAGTTTTTCTGGGTCAAATAAAACTTACCAGAGAGGAAAATAGAAGAAATGGCTAAGCTGGAGATACAAATTTGAGAATGAGCACACAGATGATTTAAAGCCACAACGAATGGATTAAATGACTGGTTGGTTTATAAGGAAAGCAGAGTCTAGGTCTAAATGCTAAGAGATATCAACTTCTAGAGGTTAAATAGGCAGAGAAAGATAAGTCTGCAAAAGAGACTGAGAAATGGCCCCAGAGGAGGGAGAAAATTGTCTTGAATGTGCAGCTGCTCAGTTAAGAACATAAAAAGAACCAAGTAGACCTGGTAACAAATGTCACTTATAACCTCAAGTAAAACAATTATGATGGAATGATGGGGCAGAGGGCTAACTAAAGGGGGAATTAAAGTTGAGACTAGTTTGTGCTGAACAAAAAAACTTTTTTTTTTAAAACCTCACCTGAGGATATTTTTTTTCATTGCTTTTCAGAAAGAATGGAACGGGGGGAGAGAGAATGAAACATCGATGTGAGAGAGACACACTGACTGGTTGCCTCCTGCACATGCCTGGACCAGGGGCGGGGGAGCAAACCTGCAACTGAGGTATGTGCACTTGACCAGGAATTGAACCCGTGACCCTTTGGTGTGCGGGCTAGCACTCTAACCACTAAGAACACCGGTCAAGGGCACATACCTGGGTTGCGAGTTCGCTCGCTCCCTGCGTCCTGGAGGGGCACCTGTGGGAAGCAACCAGTGGATGTGTCTCTCTCACATCGATGTTTTTTTCTCTCTCTCTCTCCCTCCCTCCCTCTACTCTTTCTGAAAAGCAATGAAAAAAATATCCTCAGGTGAGGATTAACCAAAAGAAAAAAAAGAAAAAAGAAAGATGGCATCTGCAGTGTGTAAGTGACTTAAGAACAGGGACCCTGTCAGCTGTCCCTTCAGTTCTCCTCCTGGAGCCACAAAACCCATTCCTTCCTCACAGGATTCTCATCAGTTCTGCCTTCCTTCTGAGCCCAGGGTGAGTGGCTGCTAATAAGATTTTGTATGCTGACTTTTTAAGAGGGTGCCTGGATCTCTAGCAGACTTCTGTCTCTCCCTGCTGATTTTCACAGCCAGATGTTATATGGGTGCTTTTTTCACATAACATCTGGTGGACTGGGCTGGGGAACCCAGTGTGGGGTTGAGATTCCATGTTCCCAAAGGGGAACCTTTGCAGCTGTTTATCCCTCAGGAATCTCAGCCACCACCAATGGAATCAGGCCAACCCTTTTCATGTCTCCACCCTTCATGCCAATATCTATGGGGCCAACGCTCTAACCACTGAGTCAAACTGGCTAGGGCCACACAGATATTTTTGAAAACTAGTGTTTTGATTTTAAAGAAACAATAATATATTACACTTTTATTTTATCTTTATGACCTCATTTTTGCTATTCAAAGACAGTAATTTATAAGCTCACATTGCCTTTCCTATCTCCAGACTCCTCTTTTCAGCTACTCTCAGACATTCATAATTTAATAGGAAAATACTCAAATCTGAGACCTTTTAGAAAATTGCCATAAGATAATACTGTAAATATATAAAGTCCTATCCTTAAATGTAAGGTATACTTACCAATGGTGAGGAAATCTGATCGATACTGACAAGTCATTCCAAAGCCAAAATCTCGCCAAAAGCCAGAATCCTTTTTGTGAACCTTAAGTTAGAGAAAGATAAATAAATTTAGTCCCTTAAGGACTAGAAAAAGTTTTAATCAACAGTAAAAAAAATTAATACTTTCCAAATAATTTTTCCTGTCATTTATATGACTGATAATAAAAACATGTATTTGTATTATTAAATCTTTATAAAACCAAAAAATATACAGGGTGGGGGAAAATCAGGTTTACAGTTGTTTGCATGGAAAATAATACATTAATAAATAATAATACAAGAATAAACTCTGTGTTTCCCATACTCACAGGTGTAAACCTACTCTTTCCCCACCCTGTATAATAATCCCCATAAGCAAGGATTCTGGCCACTTTCAATATATTTGAATTCAAGCCCTGTACAAGGTGCAAGCTCAGGTTACTAATAATCAGTGTGGTGCCTTGACCTCAGGGGCCTTACATTCAATCTAGGAACACAACAGTTGTACATATTGTAATACACTGTGATCATTTCTACAGAGTGGACCTTATTTAGTGCCTACCCAGTACCCACTCCCCTACTCCTTTGATTGTGTAGAGTTTTGGCCCCATGCAACCCATGGGCTTCACGCAAGCTCCCAAGAGGTGACAAAGTCCCTGCCTCTTTCACGGCACTGGTTTTCCCCAAGTGTTTGGCTGGTCTTAGTTAACTGCTACTCACTTTTGTTACAAAAATTGTTCAAAACCCATGGCTGTTAGCTATGATTATAGGGGTCTATCTCCATTAATAGTGGGAGAGGGTCTGAACATGGTCTAGGGCACAACCTATCAACAGCAGCTCATCCTTGCATTCTGGGGCTCCCTAGCCTCCCTGCAACTCAATATTCCAGGACCTGCCCTACCTTTCTGGCTCCAGGGGCTATACATACTGCCTCGGCTACAGGTCAATCTCTGTGATGCCTGCTGCTTAGCATACCCCTGGAGAAGCAAGCATATATATTCCACTGTGTCCTCCTGAACATGCTCCAGATTGTTCTCTCCTCCATTAATCCTATATCCACTACTGCCACTTTACAGAAATTTCTCAAACTTTAGACTATTAATGGTAATTCTCTAATTTTCCAATACTCATATGCCTTTTTCTTCTTAATTCATTTTTACAAAAGGTTTAGGATGTCAGATAAAGCAGATGTGGGTGCCTGATTTGCCATTTTGATCCCATTTGTATCAATATTCCTAAGTAATACTGGCCTACAGATAAGGTAGAGGGGTGTGTGTGTGTGTGTACATGTTTGCCAGGTACTGGCATGAAGATAATGCTGGTCTCATAAAATATATTCAGTAGATCATATGGCATTAATATTACCTGTTCTTTGAAAACTTGGCAAAACTCACTAGTAAAACATCGTGTCTATGCACCTACAGGTTACTTTTTGGATAACTGTTCTAACATTTTTAAGCAGCAATCTCAGTTTCCTCAGATTCCATCTCTTTTATTTATAAATACTAACAGCAGCTTTTAGAAAATACTAACATAAACTTAGCTCATATTAATGGTTTATAAATTCTCAAGTCTTTTATTTAGAATTTTTAAAACATCATATAAAATTGATTTTTCTCAATGTTTTCTTATTATAAATTCCAATGTTATATTTTCCTTTTTACCTTGAATTTATCTACTTTATGATTAAAAAGTTTTTTTGCATGTAATGAATACCTTCCTATATTTGTCAAACTATTATTTTTGGTTCATTAATTTCTGCCTTTATCTTTTTTTCCTCTGAGTTATTCAAGTTTTTAACATCTTAAATTGTTTGCTTATTTGTTTCCATTTTTTTCTTAATGTTAACAATAAAAAATTAGACTAAATGCAATATAGTATCCTGGACTGTATCCTAGAACAGAAAAGGGACATTAGTAGAAAAACTGGTGAAACCCTAATAAATTCCATAGTGTAGTTAGCAGTAACTTACCAATATTAATTTCTTAATTTTGACAAATGTACCACGGTTACATAAAATGTTAAAATTAGGGGAAACTGGATGAAGTCTAGGAACGCTTTATACTGTCTTTCCACCTTTTCTGTAAATCTGAATAATTCTAATATAGTAAGTTATTTAAAATTAAAAATAACTTATGTAAGTATAACTGCTATGTTGATGTAAGTATAAGTTCTGACATGTGACATTCCCATGCAATGGCCTTCTAAGTAATTTCCTATAGTATGTCATTCCTTCTTAGTTATCTAGCAGTTTTAATTTCTAGTTAATGAAGTTTTTAAAACTAAAATTTATTTTCAGTATTACTATAAATATGTTGGCAGAAATAACTGTACAATTTTCATATTCTGAAACATGAAGTTTTCTCTGTGGCCTAAACTTTTCTTTTTTCCTCCAGAATGACAAAATTCTAAAACAATAAATGTGAAAGTGTTTTATGGGGGTCTGGGGGGGAGTAAAGAGAGACTCTGAAAATGTGTTTATAGTAACTACAGGGTTTTTTTTGAAATTCTGTTTTCTACCTGTGAAACAAATACAAAGGAACCTAGAAAGGATCTTTGTGGCCCTTCATAATACATCGAGAGTCTTACCAGCTGCTGCTCCACAGGAGGGGGTACATTCTGACTGGCATACACAATGGCAGGGTTGTAAAGACTGAACACCACAGGGTAAAACACCTTCTTACCTATAAATTAAAATATACGTTTATATCACACAGAGAAGTCATAAAATGAAGGACTGGTCTGTATTACAAGATCTACTATTTTGTTAGTCTTCCTTTGATCCCATATAACGATTTTATTGTATCAATATTGTATTTTATCAATATTCAGGCTACTGAACATGCTACTGATTTGATAAACATGATGATGATTTTATAAACAGTAGGCCAGGCCATAGAACTACAGCCTTGAAAAGCAACAGAGAAAAAAACAGACTAAAGGGTGCTCCATACATTTATTCCCTTGAATTTAGGGAGATACGCAAAGGTATTATCTCAGTTATTCATTAGGTGAGCCATTTATTACTCATTATTTCATCTAATTAGCAAGAATAGATACAGGTTAACCTTGGCAATCACCAAGAAACTGAGAGACTTACGTTAAATCCACCTTTCAAAATGAACCATAGAAATAGTAAATACAAAGAGTACTGTAAATAGATATACAGAGAATTAAAACATAGAACTGCAGATAGATTTGAACAAGATTTGAAAAAGTTGGAAAGATAAGAATAAAAAATACCTGATGTAATAGCCCTTGCAGAAAGCCTTGTCATTATCATTCAACTTGACAGAACTGAAGGGACCTTAAAGGCCAACTAGCCCACCTCCCTCAACAGGGAACCCCTTGCTAAGACTGGCCTCAATAACATATGATAATGTAAAGTGCTCAGTAATTGTCAAGGATCCTGTAAGTAAGGCAGTAGCCTTTTAATTACAAGATTTCTAGCAGATGCTCATCTCACCTTCCTCAAAACCCACTTAGGGATGAGGAGCTCAGTTTCCCAGAGGCAAATCTATTTCTGGATATAAAAATATTTCTTTCACATTGAGCAAATATCTCCTTCAACTTCTACATTTTGAACTTCATGCTGTCTGGTGTAACAGAAGTAAACCTAACCCTTACTTACTCACCAGACTCTGAGCGAGTTCCTGACAATTATCCCACCAAACTAATTAATAAGGTAGTAATAATTTGCAGGATATAAACAGTTCTACATTTAAAAAACCACTATGAGATTTTTTAAAGTATAGAAAACCTTTTCATTTAAAGATTTAAATCACATTTAAAAGATTAAAAAACATTTAAAATAGATTTGATTTATAAGAATGTCATTTGCTCATACATTTTCAAAAAATATCTATAACGTAAAGCAAAATATAGTAAATCATCCCAAATGCATAGTCTGGAGACCAAGCACTATCTGTATGGAGACGTCTGCATGTGTGAACGCCTGAGGTAAAGTACTTCTGACACTCACGTATCCACACAGTAGGTGTGGCTCCTTTTCTGATAGGTGCTGCTTCCTCCTTGTTAATTTCAAGACTTTTTATTTCTTTGCATTTGTTTATTTGCATTCAAAGGCAGACATTAGAATTTGGCCATAAGAGAACAGGGGTATGAACTTCAGAGGGACAAATTTTCACTTTTTGACTTAATATTCCAGTTAAATTATGCCTAATATAACTTTAATGAAACATAATTAATGATTCAAAATATGGGACATACTAACATTGTTCTAAATCCTACACTCAGCTCATCTAACATTTTACGCACCTGGCTCAGCATTTAAGCGGCAGCTGTGAAGGAATTCGGCTGAGAAGTAGATGTCAACGTCACAGAAGAACATCAAGACCTCGCCCTTGTCCCAAGCTCGGGCGCCCACATTCAGTCCTCGCCCACGGTTGAATTCTTCATTCAGTGGGACCAGGGTGTAATTGTGAAAATTAGACTCACTATGGGGAAGCACATATAACAAACAATAAGTCGCACTTACAGCGTAACAACTCTCTCCTTCATTACAACTTACAAATAGGTTTTACACTTCAGATAATATTGTGTTGGTTCTGCATTCCTGCAGGGAAAGGAAATCATCAGCTTCATGTGTATAATCATCATCAGGGACATGTATTCACTAAATGCCCACATGTGAGGCAGCATGATGGGGGCGTGAAGTTTATAAATGTTGAGGGGCCCCTGCCCTTCTGAATCTTAAAAACCTATTGCAGAAGATAAGAAATGTACACATTGGAAAACAGCCATAATGTCTGGTAACAACACATTCCACATGAATGAGACACACACAGGTGCTCTTCTACGGAGTTCTTCAGATCTTTGCTCAAATGTCCTCCTAGAGAGGCAACCCTCATACGATACACGAAGTAGCTCCAACCTCCTCTCTTTCATTTCTATCCCCTTGCCCAGCTTTGCTTTTCTCAGTCCCACCAGACATGTTTGAGTGTCTCCCCCACTGGAATGTAAGCTCCATGGGAGCAGGGATTCTGTTTTGTTCATTACTATGGACACGGTGTTACTCATAGAGTAGGAGTTCAGCAAATATTTGCTGAACAAATGAATTAACAGCAGTTCTGAGAAACAAAGACTGCTTCTGTCTGGAGTAGTCAGTGAAGATGTAAGAATTGGAATTTAAGTTGTGCCTTGGTTAAAATCCTGAATTCAGTGGCAAGTGTAAAGGTTGTTCCAATTAATTATTTTCAAAGGCAATGAGGTAAGAACATATAAAGCATTTTAAAGAACAGGGATCAGACAAATCAAATTGGCAAAGAGGGATCCTAGAATGAGAACAATGAGAGAAAATCAGAAAGGGTCAGACTGAGGAGTACTTTTCATGAGAAGTTAAAGATCTTGGTCAGTGTCCTAAAGGCAAGGAAGAGTCAGGGCTTTTCCATCAGGGCAGTGGTTCTCGTTGTGAAGTCCCTGAACGCAAAGCATCAGCTTCCCCTGCACACATGTTAGAAATGCAAATTCTCGGGTCCCACCCCAGACTTCTGGATCAGATGCTAGGGGTGGAGCTGAGTGTCTGCGCCTTAATAAGCCCTCCAGGTGACTGATACTAAAGTTGGAGAACTACTGTACTAGAGTATAGTAGAATAAAAAAAGGAACCTTTTAGAAAGATTACTCTTACAATACTATAGACTGGGAAATGAAGAGATGGAAGCCAAGGCTCAGTGTATGGAGTGGACTCCAAGTGCTCTGAGTGCCCATGCTCCCCTTCTTATGGGATATAAATCTCCCCCTTCTTTTGGGGAAACTGCTGATCACCACCTCACACTCCTAGCAGCATGAGAGGAACTAATCATTGAGCACCCCATCCAAAGCAACTTCCTAGGAGTGGGGACCAGACTCAAGCTGGGCTAATGACAATACCCCCACCTCGCCATAGTGATTGGCTCAAGAGTGGGCAATAGTTCCTCCCTGGGATTTTCTCAGCTGGATGTGGGAGAAGGCTCTTTCCTATCTGACCACAAAGCTGAGGAGTGAGCCCAGAGCAGCCAACAGCCATATACCTCACATACGGAAGAAGACAATCTGCAAGAGGAGAATGAAGTCAAGATGCAAAGAAAAGCAGACAAGAGGACAAGAGCACTTGGACAGTGTTCCAGGCTCTGGTCCCCGCCCCTAAGACATCAAAGTGGATTTGGTTTTCTCCTCCAAATTGGTTGTAATGACCCCTTTAGTTTTGCGAGTTATCCAAGATTCTTTAATAACACTCATTTTCCTTAAGTACGCTCAAAACAGGCTTCCATCATTTACCACGGAGGAGTCTTGATTAATGCAAGGGCGGCTTCAGGAATGCCAATGTGAGTGCTTGGCACTTAGCAGGCGACCTGAAAATGGTAAGGAGGGAAGAGAAGAGGGAAAAAATGAAGGGGGAGGGAACGACCTAGGAGAGATCCTGGGCAGTAAGCAGGAACTGACTAATCAGAGGCAGAGAATGACTGAAAGGTGCTGACTCACAGACATCAAGAGCAGAGCATCAGGGGAATGGTCTTAGTCTGAACTGAAAGAGGGCCACCAGGAGGAGAAGACAATGTTTGTTTCTTACACGTCAATGCTGTGAGAGAGCCCTTAGAAGCAGGGACAACAATTCCCTCTTCCATGCCCAGTACTATTCCTACCACCCCAGTTAGGCTCCCAAGCAGGGTACCTAGAACACAGCTGGTGGGAGCCAATGAACGCTAGTGGAATGACTGAAGAAGAATGGCCAGCCAAGTCTGGACCCTTAGGGAACGTCCACACTAGCAGAAAGGCGAGAAGCAAGCAAAGGATACAGAACTGGGTGGTGAGAAAAGAAAATCAACGTATCTTACACATAACATATTTACATTTACAATTATCAGAGGAACGGTTCAAGAAGGATGTACTTGTCAAGTGTCAAATGCAAAAAAGTGATAGTAGAGGATGACAGGGAAAAAGCTGAATGTGGCAAATAGGCCCTTAGAGATGAAAAAGCTGAGAAGCTACGGAATTAGTAACAGACTTTTAAGGAATTACTAACTCACTCATTCAAACCTCTGAGCACCTACTATGTGCCAGGTACTATATGAATTGTTTGGTTAGAGAACTACTGTCTTGTGAGGTTTAGCTATGAAAGGACAGAAACCTATAAGTACCTACTGGATATTGTAGAGTCCGGTGGAAGTGTCTTAAGGATAAGGGGAGACCTTACAGGGTGAGAAGAAGGGACTTGGGGAAATGAAAAGATAGGTGACAAGAGACAAGTTCAAGAGATGATATCAAAGTGAAGGGACTAGATTTAGAAAAAGGGAAATAGTTCAACAGGAGGAAATAAAGAAGTAATAAATGGAGGCAAACATACAGAAAATGAGCAGGCTGTGGAGTTAGAGCACCCTGATCATGCCAGGCTGTCTGCTAGGAGGTTAAGTAAAGATGTCATTTAGAGTCGCATGAGTGAGCCTAGTGGTGAAATGAGGAACTTATCAGTACACTCACATGCTCAGCCAACTTTTAAACATAGCTATTCCAAATTAACTCATTAGATAGCTGAGATTCTCACTCTTCTAATGGTAACGTATCAAGGACCCACCTTGTGACAGACTCTAGGATGGACTTGACTTTAGACAGTCCTTCTTTACCAAAATACACCACTGTGAGATGAATCCTCTTGTCCTGATGAATACATACATCCCTAACAGAATTGAAAAATAAAGTTCACTCAAGAAAACATACGAGGCTCTACTCATTCCAAAAGCAATCACATGAAGTTTTAAAAAGAAAATGAACGAGGTATTACTAATTTAAAACAAAATCACATAAGTTTTAAGTAAATATAAAAGTGGCAATATTGTTGATTAAAGGCATCATAGGGAATGAATAACAACGTATATGTCTAATCCTTGGAGAGCCATGGAAACAGTCTAACAGTGTTGCCAAATTTCAAAACATTTTGGGAACTTTGCTTTGGTATTGCTTTCAGAAGCAAAATACAAGCTACTCAAAGAAATAAGGCCAATTAATTCAGAACCAAATAAATAAATATTCATCTTCTGATTTGAGAATTACTTTGTCTTCAAACCGGCTAGTACCAGAAATTACACCTATCATTGAGGAATAAACATTTGCCATGAATAAGGTTATTTAGTGTAAGAATAATGTAGCATCTGAAGGCAATTCCAAGAAAGGCAATAAAAAATGATTTAGGAAATCAGACCTCAAGTGAGCTATTTCAAACATGCAAAACTCATTTGGAAGCATGACTTCTAGATATTCTGCTACAGAAGAGTGTTAACTAACTTTTAAATCCAACAATTTCAATACAAGAAAAAAGACAGGTTACAAACATCAAACTAGCATATTAAAGTATTTAAAACATGGCAATTTTTAAAACAAAAAAGCAAAACTCTCCTCAAATAGTTATTCTAATATGTAGTTGTTTTCTTTAACACTTCAGCATTTTAAAATATCCAAATTTAATGGCAAAAAAATTCTTTTAAAAATTGTTAGTCTCTGCTTTCCAAGATGGAATAACTTTCTGCCATTTTTAGTTAAATGTTTGTATTTCTAAAATTTAGTTCAACTTTAAAATTCAAATTGCTCTTAAGGGAATTTTCTGGGGAGATAGCAATGTTCTATATCTTGATTAGGGAGGTAGCTACAAGAGTGTACATGTCAAAAGTCATGAAACCCATATTCCTAAAATATGTGGATTTTATTGTATGTAAATCATGCCTCAATAGTTATTTTAAAAAATTCAACTTGTCCTAACATGAATTCACACACATTTATAAAGGTCATCAAGTTTAGTTGTCACCCTCAATTTACTTCATAGTTCAAATAGTGAAAAACACAGTAAGTTTTAAGAAATAAGAGAATATCAAAAAGTAAAGTTCCCTATAGCCTATAAAATTATCCTGCAATTTTAAGTAATCATACTCAGTGAAGATAAATGAGTAAATGTGCACGAAGTGAATTTTTTTCAGGCATGCTTAGCCAAATCATTAAGCCCTGAGAGTTACCTGAAGTTCTGCATGAACTGCACAAATGCTTCAGTTCTTTCAGCAAGTGGTACGATTATATTAATAATTGATCTAGTAATGTCAATCATCTCGCTCTTCACTTTCATGAGAGGTCCAAAAGGGCGGAACAGGGTCACATGTCTGTATTCCATAAGGTCTGCTTTCTTAAAAAAGAGTTCATACTGGGTGCCCTTATCTCTCTCGGTGCGGTAATAACCTGAGGAAAGAGTTAGGGACAAGGATGTCTCCATGTCAAAGTTTATAAATTCAATGTGAACACTGATTTTACTCAAAGATCAAAAGCATAAAACCAGATCTGTAGGGTTTTTATCTGTTTGTGAAAATATTTATCCCAACTATTTATCCCCACAACTATTTCTTTATAAAAGAAATTTTAAAAAAGTTCACTGCTCTGCTGTATTATGATTCAATCCATACCATGCGCTTCAAATGACATTTACTCCTTTTTACATATGATTTTTTAAATAGTAGAGCCTATTAACACAGTAACCATCCTATGAAAATAAAGAAATTACTTCTGGCAATATTAAAATCTAGACCTGAAAGTCAAAACTTTTATTGCTTGGTTCAGCTCAACAAAAATGAATTGAATGCCTCTGTGTCAATCACTGGTGGTATAGAGGGCTACAGGTCTTCTTTGAGTAAGGGTCAGTTTAATGAGGGAGACAGCGCAATAAGAAATGATAATATAGTGATACACACGTGTGCACACATACACACATACACTGAATACAGTGAAGTCAGACAAAGAAAAATTAGCAGAGATTTAAACATGGTGACTTGGATGCCTCAGGGTGAAGACCAGGGAAGCTACTGGGCTGATTTTAAGTGTGACATAGAGAAGAAAGGTTAGACTCACAGATGTGTAAGTCACTGTCAATATCTCAGAATAAATGGAGAATGAGACAGACCTGGTCCCACTCCTCCTGAGGCTGACAGACAAGCAAGAATTACAAATCAGGAAATGAGCAATCCTGTATCACAAGAACTATGAGGGGACACAGACGGGCTACAAGAGCACACAGGCAGTACTGTTATCTTAGACTTGCAGGTTGGAGATGATCTTCCAGAAGTGTCATCTAAGCTGAAGTCTGGAAAGAGGAATAGGAGTTGCTCAGTTGTAATTATTTTTTGGTGAGGGGAGTAGCATAGTGGAGAAAAAATGAGGGACAAGATATGTTCCATGCAGAGAAAAATCTTGTAAGTGGCAGAATCCAAGGAGAGTTATAAGCAGAATATAAAACGGGCATCAGTTCCTTTCTTTTCAGGCAAATGTGAAGACATTTTACATGTTATGTAGTTATTTTACTTCCTCAGCAGCTTTCAATTCTGCTATAAGCTACAAACATAGAGTGAAAAGAAAAAAGCTGAGCTTGCAGGAAAATTAGAAGAGTTTTGAGAGGAACAACCCTTGAAAATGGCAGGAAGTGACAGCAGAAAAAAGAGGTGGCTACAGGGAACAGACAGTTCAAATGCCAGAAAAGCACAATGCTCTCTCTGATGGCCTCCAAAGTCCCCAAGGTATTGCTTTACAGTATAGCAAGTGACATCCATGATGATTCAGGGTCAAAAACACTACACATGGTATACTGTTTAGAGTCAAGCAAAGAGAACTTTTAAGAAAGATTTATATCTAAAGTGGTTTTAAGCCTGCAATTAAATATCCAGCAGAGGACATTAGGATAGAGATGGGTGGGGATCTGTAATTATTCCTGTTTATATTAATCAACAAATATCTCTAATTCATAGCAGTGTTTCTCAACTTTTGAGTCATGTCCTATCTTGATATATAAAAATCCCATGCCCCTTTTGCATCTGTATTAGGAAAATACTTTTCCAAATGCCAAATATGTGTTTTAAAACTATGTATGCCCCTTGATGTTCTCACGTGTGCTTTTCTCCTCCCTCCAAAACAGAGAATAACCACTAATCTACATGCTTAGTTTCCATTACTTTATCAAATGGTTTTAAAACCTTGAGCCCTAGTTCATACATTTTTTAAAAACATAAGAAAGGAACAATAAGACCAGATAAGAGAGGAATGCAAATACCTACACACGTAAATACAGAAACAGCCCTAGGAGCTTTCAACTTGGGTAGCAGTCTTCTATATAAGCTTAGATTTATTCTATTTTCCTGGTTCTCATTCTCTACTTTATTACAGTCACATGATAACTTTTTTCAAAAAGCCACTTCAAACTCTTGGTGGAATGAAGTGGGTAAACACTTAATGTTGTAGCACTGTGGAAAATGACTTGCCGGCATACAACAGCAGCATTTTGCCATATTAACATAACTACGGACCAATACATTTTTCACATTACCTTCTATGAAGTCATTTTCATTAAACATCAGTTTCTCTCCAAGGGGACCATCCTCATCTTCCTGTTCATCATCTTCATCAGGATTATTAATGACCTCCAAGCCAGCTTCAATAACTTCTACCAATTCATCTCGCTTATCTTTTCTAACTGGCTTTTCCTCAGGATGGCGAGTGAGACCCATTTCCAATTGGAATACCTTCATTAAGGTAAAACTTTCAAAGGGAATGACCCCATACTCACTAGGTAGTCTGGCTCCTATGCTAACTTCAGCTTTGTCAATCTGGGAATGAAGAAACTCTAACAGATCACTAGGTGCTTGTTCTTTGTGGCCTTGGTAACCTATGCTATTAGCCCCAACATTCTTTCTCTCTTGTAATGATCTCATCTTCTCACTCATTTCTTGTAATTCTTGTTTCAGTTGGGCAATTTGGCGTTTCAGACTGGTTGCCCTGGTTTGATAATGTTCTTCTTGCTCCTGCAGTAGGGCCTGATAATACTCTTTACCATAATTTTCTCCAATGACTCCAGGAAGAGATGCGTTTCCATCCGTCTGGGGGGCACATTCCAGAAGATATAAAAACAGTACCAAACTGCAGAGTAAAGCAAGACCCAACAGCAGCCAGTGGGTCCGGGTCTGAAGAATGAATCCTCTTCTAGGCATTCTTATTAATGTGGCTTTGCCCAATGAGGTAAGTTCTTTGATAGTTCATGCCTTTAGTAAAAGGTTATCCAAAAATTAAAAACCAAATCAGGATTTCCATAAAAGGTACCAAAATGAATTTTTTTGTAGCTTAAAAAATTTCTTCCTTCAGCAGTTAAGACTACTTGCAGAAATGAGAAATTATGCATGCTTCCTGTATTGTTACCATGATATCCAGAATGAAGAAATCTGATCTACAGAATCAGATAAAATTCCATTATATGGTGGTGACCTTTCTGAAAGAAACAGATCAGAATCAATCAGAATTTTGTTTCCTTAAGTACATCAACTGTTGGCAGCCTCAGTAAACTTATGTGACCACTATATCTTGAGCACCATGAGAGGTGCTAATACAATTCAAAATATTCAGTAAGTTGAGGAAGAAATTATTAAGAAAAATATTACAAAGCACTAAAATATGACACATAATACTCCTAAGCCAGTATGTATACACATCCATAATCTCCTGAATGAATTAAACATTAAAATTATGTTTAGCATAGTTTGTGTTATATAGATTTTACTATTCTCTAATCATTTGGAAATTATATTGCTTATAGCTCTGTATTAACATAATATTTCAATCAACACACCATTTCCCTCCTATTGCATATTACAATTTTGGAATTGAGTTTCTATCAATTGTTTTTGTTATATTAATAATAGCTTACTAGAGAAATGTATGTTCTTCCAGTTTATTCAATTCAAGAATTTTACTGCATTAATTTTTATGGCTCAAATCAGTCAATCTAAGAGCTTTAAAATTAAGTGGAGGGAAAACAATTTCAAAAGGTCACAGACATCTGGAAAACACATTAGGAAACATTTTTACATCCAAAATCCTCCAGTAGATTATTTGAGCATTAGATCACATAATTCTTTCAGAACTCCTACACGTCTGGAAAGGCTTAGAGTCTATATAAAGGAAAAACATGAACATTTTAATATGATTTTTACAAGGGAAAAAATTAAAAACCTTTTATAAATTCACAAAATTACACGGTACTATTCATACCACAACCAGTTGTGTGAGTTCTCCCATGTTTCTTTCTAAATTAAGGATTCTTAACTGTAGAAATAGAGATGGTTAAACTTAGCAGTCAGGAGACAGGGGAGGCCTCTGCCCCAGAGAGAATTTCCATTCTAATGAAGTGTTTGTCAAGAAGGATATGTAATAGTACAGTAGGCTTTTAACAGATGGTCTCTGCCAATGCAGCAGAACCTGTGGAAGAGGATTACCAGGGAAAATGAGTCCTAGTCATTTTCTTACTGATTAGGAAAGTCTGGATACCTTCTGTGAAAAATGCTACACTGTTTTTTTTTTGTGTGGAACATATCTGTATAAAATGTAGGATAGATTCAAACTTCTTATGGCTAGTAAACCACAAACCTTAGCCATTTATTACTTTAGTTAGCCAAATGATAACCAAGTATCTTGAAAAATTTAATTCACCACTGAAACAGCAGTATATATCACATAAAGTTTTATGTTACAATTATATACATATGTATATTTATGAGATCTTCACATAAAATGTATTTATAAATGGGCTGAGTTTTACTATGACAGCATCTGTTTCACAGATTGTAAATCTTGTTGTATGTAAATGACGTAGAAAAAAGATAGAAAAAAAATTCGGTATTAAGAAATTATCTAGGGAGCACATGAGATCTTACATCCTGGCACATGCTGTGAGTTTGGATCAAATGAACTCTCATAAAAATTCTCTACAGGTCTGGACATTTCTTACATTGACATTTACTTGGCACAGTGTGACAGGATTCTGAAGAAGCCCACCCAGGGCCAACCTGTGGCCCTAGACCCGGTACTAGGTAAAGCAAGGGCGCCTTGTGTCCCACAGGCTCCCCGCTTTGTAGCAAGTGAACCTGGGTGAATCCTGGGCCTCCTTGCTTTAAGTAGCAGGCCATGACTTTATGTGAGTTGTTTTTAGAAAATCCTTGAGGTGGATAATGGTTGAGATAACCTAGGGAAAGGGAAAAAAGTGGGTTGCCGCTTTTAATTTCAGCTTTTTAATTGGATTGCTTACTGAGTCTGAACAAAATCTCTGCTAATTAAATACGAGGCTGGGCTCTCTTTAACTCCAAAAGAGAAAGGACACTTGCCTTCCCAACCCAACAACAGTTGTTTCAGACCCCTGAATTGAGAGTGGCGGAGATGGGAGCCAGAAGTTGTCCAGTGAGGTGGTACAGCTAATCCCAGAGAAGCATGCCGGAGCCCCAGGAGGACAGAGCACCCTGGAATGGGTTTGCCTGGAGAGAGGGACCTGAAAGAGGTGCTGTGCCTTGGAGAGCACTTCAATTCTTGCTGCATTCAGTATGTTCCTGCTGGCCCCTGTCTGGGTATTATTAGGTGAGGAAGAATCTTTGTGTGGTTTCCAGAGACAAAATTTCCTCTAGGGTATAAAGCAGTCCTATAAAGATATCCACTACAATTAGCTCATCTGGAGACATGCATGTAAGGGTTGGTTTTCCCTAGAACTTGGTTCACACTCTACAGATCTCAAAATTAGCATGGGAAAGCATGCTGCCCAGGCCAACAAGGCCCACCACAGCCAGCCTCCCATTTATAACTAAGATGACCAAAAGGAAAATCCTTTGATACATTTAAAATATTTTTTGCATGTACAAATAGAAAAAGCTGGCTATAAAAGTAGGCAGAATGAAAGAAAATCATATTTAATTGGTCTCTTGAAGCTTCAAAAAGAAGATTTAGATAAATGGATTACCTATGATGTTGTTTAGGTATCAACCCAATTTTTTGTGGTATTAAAAACAGCTGTCATTTTGAAAGAGGGAAGGTCATTTGGAACTTGACTTTTCAAGCACAGATATGAATTGTAAATGCTTCCTAAACAGAATTTAGATCCAACTGTTCTCTCTTTGTCCCTGTCTGTATGTGTCTATATATATGTATGTTGTAAATGTGAGATAATTTTCTACCTTGGGATAGTATTGTTAAAATTAATTTAAAGTCAAGGACTTGCAAGAATTGGGTATTCTAAAATTCTCAGAAATATAGAAACTCAAATGCTTTTCAAGTACACATGTTCTAAGATTAATCCTTAGTAAATAAAAGCTTGCTTAAGTTTGTTGCTTTAAGTAAAACAGTCATGTCTTTACTTTGCCTGGGTTTTACAAAAATAAGTCATTGTTAATAACTGACTTTCATATCTATGAAAAATGTTTCCAGAGATTATAAAATATCAGCTAAAGAATGCTTTCCATTTGAAATTGAGGTTTTAAGGGTTAAAATCTCAATATATGAAGAAATAACATTGCAGTGTTCTAGAAGGGCCCCTGGAACATGTCAAAAGACTTGTCTTTTGTGTTAAATTGCATGGGAATATCAGAGGTAAAAATATGAAGAGTTAGGGCTATGGAAAACCCAACATGGTTGCTTGGTTCTTTTCTGCTCCCTGGCCCCCCATTTTCCAGTTTTTGCTTTCCTTCATGCATCACAGTGCATTTAAGCTGATCTGAGATGAAGAAACTTATGAGAAGACATTACTGAAAGGAGACAACTTACACTATTGCCAAGGTTTGATAGAGTCCGTTCAAGACAATGCCTAGTTGGTAACTGCATCCCTTTCACAGTGAACTCCCAGGAGACAAAGGCTTTAGATTTTGATTACTGGAAAGAGCATCAAATAAAAGACACTCTCCAACTTTACTGGAAGGGACTTTATTAGGCACCTAACCACAAATGGACATCTACCCCATCTCTGATACTTGTCTCCACCTAGAATGGTCATCAAAGCCCTCTAGGGTGAGAAGCTGCCGACACCAGAAGTAGTCAGCTCTCCCAAGACAAGACCTATATACCTATGGATTGATACTGAACTCAGAATCTATTTTGTTTGGCTGTCATAATAATAGTTATTTGTTCTTAGGGTTTTTCTATATAGTCCAACTGTTTATGATTACTGAACATGTATAAGATAACTGTTAATACTCTTCATGGCTTATGTAACTGTTATACTAGATGCCAAATACAGAAAAATGAGACAGAAGGCAAAGTTTGGATCATGACAATTCACAGGACAGAAATGATCCAGAGTGGTTTTTGTGCAATGAAGGCCGTAAGACCTGACTGTCTTCCATTTACCTGCCCTTTTCCCTTTTTGGGGAAAAATTCTGCCTCAATTTGGATCCCATGGTTCCAGTAATGTCCCATCCCCAATGGTCAACAATACAAGGTTGATACTGAGACTTCCAAGGACTGAGCCTTCCTAGAGCTATAAGAACACACTATCTGGCCAAAAAGTCAGTCATCAATGCATTCTTCATGGCGACTTATGACCAAAAGGGGGAACTGTGGATGAAAAAAAGGGGTTCTATAGAAAGTAATCTCACATAGTGATCTGATCATAAATCCCTCACTGGGCAAGTTATGGTGAATTAGTCATGCCCCAGGCCTATAAGTTCTTTAGTGAAAGGTTTTAAGCCAGCCCTATCCATTGTTCTTGTGCTTGCAATATCAGAAGTAATGTCCCTTGAAAGGTGTATCTACCCTCAAGAGAGCACGTAGTCTTGTTAAGTAACTTGTAAATCAATCCCCTCCCTGCTTTCTCCAATCTTCTGAAAGTCCCCTTTTTAATTTCAAATGCATAAAAGAAGCTGCAAAACTGCTATTCTCCAAAGCATTTGAGATCTTTCTCCTTGGCGTATGTCAATTTGGCTCAAATAAACTCTTATAAAAATTCAAAAAAAGAAACTAATTTAAAAATAAGGATGCAAAGTTATTATTAGTTCCAGGACTTTACCATGCCTCAAAACCCTAATTCTTGGCATAAGAATCCACTCAAATTTTATTAATTAAAAAATAAAACTCTGTGGTATGTCTTTTAAATATTTATAAGTTATTACTATCCCATTTATTATGGAAAAGAAAGACTAAAACTAAAAATATGGAAACATAATCCTGTATAAATTATTAATAAAGTTATACATATTTAAATATACCATACTCAAACTGTTTTGAAGTAAAAGTTGATAAAAGAACATAACCTAAGTTCTTTTATCTTTTATTAATCTGGTACTTCATAGTTTTTTTCTTTATATAGACAATGTATTTTAAACTGTGAGATATAGCCTGTTAATGGGTCATACCAAAAGTTTATTTTTCAATGAAATAAAACAGGAAATATCAGTGTATATCACATATAGCAGTAAGATTTGTGTTGCAATTATACATATATATACACATATATATATG